ATCTTCCAGTGATGGGAAAAACATGATCTTCTGTTTACCCTTCTTTTATGGAGACCTCCAGTTCATAAATTTTGATCTAAAATAACTTTATATTTATTTCTGTATTGTTAAAGCAAACAATTCCTAGTTGTTTGGAATTGTTTTGTATTCCCTAACATTTTTTTAATGTTTCAGAAAAATTTCCCCTAAATTTTTGTTCAATAATACGTATGCCTACATCTAGCCCCCCAATATTGTTTCATCCTGGGAAAGCCCTGTCAGCAGCAGAGCTTAATATTGGCCATCTCCATCCACTTTAAAGTGGGCAAAATTGCCCTGGGCTAGATAGCAATTGCCCTGGGCTAGATAGCAATTAGTCTTTTTTTTTTTTTTTAAAGATTTTGCCTTATCTTGATGCCATTAAACATCTAAATTGAACAACAGTTCTCTTTGTTCTGATGCCATGCTCACCAAGCAATCTTCTGATCTTCATTATGGCTTTGCATGTAGCTTGCCTGCAAGGGCAGAACACATTTGCGAGAAGATGCAAGGATCTGTTCTTTGGTACTCGATTTCTTACTGTGTAAATCAGTCAATTGCCATTGTGTCTTGTATATCAGTCTCTTGTGAACTCTCTCAAGCTAAAGTAGCTTTCAGAATTTGATTGCCCTGGGATACTGGCAGCCAGACCTTGCCCCTTGGCCGACTGAGCAGAGCAGCCTGTTCTAAGAGGCCCCTTGGCAGCCAGTCAACTGCCTTCCAAGACCACACCCTGAGTTTATTATACATCTTTCTTTTTGACTTATGTGTTATTTATTTCTTTGTGATTTTTTTTCAAGAGGCATTATAAAATGTTTTATTTGTTTTCTCACCATAAACTTTTTAAAAGTAAAATATAGACCTTGGACAACTAGAGTTGGGTCTTGACCTTTTCTCCCTCAAGAATTGGCAAACCAATTTGAAATTTTTCTGTCAGCTACAAATCTGAACAAATTAGAAAGCACTCTAAAATCCCTAGGCATTGCTCTTGTTGGAACTTCAATGCCGACTCCCCACTCCAAGTATTTGTTTAAAAAAACTAACTGGCACTTTTTTACTCGTGTCTGAAGAGAATTATCTATGAACTCAAATTTTATATGCCTAAAGAAGGCTCCCTAGAATACTACTACAAATTGTATACCTTATCATCTTTTTGAGTATTTAGGGTATATATTAACATATTAAAGATGCTGGGAAGTCTTACAATAAGAAACTTGTTTAATTTTATATAATCTGGATTTCAAATTCCTCAACTTCCAGGCCATCTTCCCCAGATTCCTTCCCTGCACCCCAACCCCCAAATCCCAGTTAACAAACATGATTTAGGATATCTGCTAAACACCATTCCTGTTCTGTTTTCCTTTAACTTTTCTGCATCTGATCCTGAAACACAGAACATAAACCCAGTGATTCTGATATTTCCAAAAATGGTTTCATAGTATTATCATTGTAATTAACTAGTTTATTAATATTAATAAAGGAAAGAGAGCAAAGGGAGAGTCAAACATTGTAAGCATGGTCACCCGGGCAGCTTCACCAGCAAAGCTACAGCTTCACACTCCCCAGGGAACCACCAGTCCATTCCCTGCAAATCAACTGGGGGCAGGGATCTTACAAAGGGGGAGATGGGCACATGCACAGTGAAGTCCAGGTGATGTAGGGAAGGAAGGTGCTTGCCTGTCAGTCTAGTCTGGGGAATAGTGGATTGGCCAGGGTTGGACCCCATTAGAAACATGCAAAATCTTGAGACGTTAAAATCCCCAGACAGAGTTACTTCTCTTGTGCTCTTGCTCCCCCTTGCTCTCTCTCTTGCTCCATGACCTGCATTCGTCCATGTGCTTGCCTGTTCTCTCTCTATAGCCATGTGACCTTAAGCAGCTGCATGGCCCATGACCATATAGACCCCACACACAATGGACTGCCACTGGGAATGCAAGCTAAACTAGCCAGATGCTGGACTGGACTGGACTGTAATATGGAACAGAAATTCTGGGCAGTGGCCTTAATTCTGGTCGTGCTAAAGATAAGGTTGGACTCTTCTCTAGCAAAACAGACAGAGATGGGACCTTGGAGGAGAACCCCTTTAATTTTACATCATCGGAAAGCTTTCCACGAAACTCCATCCTTTCATGGGGGCCTCAGGAAATTCTTTTCCTTGTGGTAGCCCTAGAACTCCACTTTCACCAATCCTGAAACATAGAACATGAATCCAGTGATTCTGGTATTTCCAAAAATGGGTTGATAGCATTCCAAGAAGAACAGCTTAGTGCTTAAAAGTGATTTGGCTGTGATAATTCTTGAGTTTCATTTATTTTTATTGTTTTTAAAAATAATAGTTATTATTAAAGCATTTAGCACATTAAAAAATTAAACTGAGTGCCTACAATAATGTCTTATATTTGTATACGCCATTGTGGCTTTGCTTTGTATTATCTCAGATGCGCCTATGAACTAGGCAGAGCAAATATTATAATGCCTGTTTGGGGAAGTGACGAGTTCAGAGTGTTCTGGTGATTTGAGGAAGACCATATGATCACATTGCAGCAGGGCCTGGGTTAAATCTCTAAATTTCTGACTCCTGGGTTCAGTAATTTCTTTTCTACATTACTTATTAATCAGTCTTTATTACTTTTAGTCAATTCTTTCATTTCTTCCTCCACCTCCCCACCCCCCCATTTAATAGGTTGAGTCATTCATTCATTAATGCCTACTGTGTGTCAGATTCAGTACTGTTGTGGTAAATACTCAAAAATCAATCAGAAGTTCTTGCCTGGAGGTGCTCCTAGTTTAGTGGGATAGGGAAGTGGAGTGATAAGCACCAGTACTTGAGATGTTTTAGTGCAAATGCTAGAGAACACACATGAAAGAGTGCCAGAAGTTATGCCTCTTCTCGTAGGGAATGTTAGAGAAGTCTCCACAGTAAGACTGTACCTTAAAGAATTAGAAGGATTCCTGCCAAGAGAGTTCAGGACAGGCCCTGGCTGGGTAGCTGGGTTGGTTAGAGGGTCATCCTGATACACCAAAGTTGTGTGTTCGATCCCTGGTCAGGGCACATAAAAGAATCACCAATGAATGCATAAATCAGTAGAACAACAAATTGATGTTTCTCTCTCTCCCCCTTCCTCTCTCTCTGAAAGGAAAGAAGGAAGGGAGGCAGAGGGGAAGGGTTCAGGACATAAGTGATTCAGGGATAGGTCATGTGAGGGCTCGGAGGCATGAAAAAGCCAAGTATGTTGGGAGAAGAGTAGGCAGTGAGGAAGGGCAGCAGCTAAGGCTGAAATGGCGAGTTGGAGGTAGCACTTGGAGTTGCAGTCCTGACTCCACAGCTCACTAGCTATGTGACTTTTCTAAGCTTTAGTTCCTTACTTTACAGGTATTGTGAGGATGAAATACAGTCATACATAGGAAGGTGCCACTATCTTAAATCCTCAGGAGAAAAAAGGGAAATTCAGTGAATAAAATATAAAATTCCTGATATGTACTGGCATTCAGTATATGTGAGTTGTCTTTATCATGCTAAGCTAATTTGATTTGCTGTAGGCAGTGAGGAGACGTGAGCAATTTTAAATACTGTATCAGCTTCTTGTTATAAAAAGATTTAGAGTAGTCAGCAGAGGAACCAGTGTATGATGCTAGAATAATAGATTGTGTTTTAGACATAGGATTTGAGGCCCCTGCAGTATTTTGAGATATAAACCTAATAAGATAATAGTGAAACTGGAAGTTGTTTGCTTTCAGTCTATACTTGACATTGAAGCACAGGGAAGGCCTTTTGGTTCATTCCATTATCCCTGGATTCTGGTTCAGTTCACATCCATATACAGGGGTCTGTGTCTTTGTGTTATTGAGGAGAGGTGCGTGTTGGGGAGTAGGTGGCAGGTTTGGGGCAGTATGTTTCAGCTAAGAATACAATGATGGATGCTCACTCTTGGCAATCTGGATCTTCTCCAGATTGTTCTGTTATGATCCCTATCCAGATAAGCAAAAATCTCTTTAACATATGGAAATAGTCTAGTATTTTTTTGGTCCAGGTATAGACTGTGATAGGCAAATCTCTTGGGGTCACTGTCCACCAAAGCAGCCACCAGAGTTCAGTCTGACCCCTTATGAAACAGCCTTTATGTTACAATCCTTATCTTGTCCAATTGTCTAGATTGTCTTCTTCAAACCAATACTTGGGCTGTCCCAGAGGTTTTTCAAAGTTATCACTTGAATGGCGTTGAGTAGACATACACAGAACTTCCCCATTGTCACCTGGCTTGATTCACATATTTGTGTTTCTCGCCTGGTTTCAACAGGTGTTTGAGTGTCATTTGAAAATGAAATGAACCTCAGTTTGGAGAAGTACACTAGACCTTGTTATAATACTATCTGAAATGACAGAATTCAAAATGAAATAAGACAACCATGGCCTCCATCAAAGGGGCTTCTTTCTAAAAGTATTTTCCCCTAAAACGTATACTCGTAAGACTTGCTTTAGACTGATATTTGTGTGCTTACTAATACAGCACTTTATGTTTCATAGACTTTATACGGCAGAAGCTATTTCTTACTATTTGATTAAACTACATTAACTGTTAGGAGACTTACATTTATTGGGGACATAAGTATTAGCAAAATCTTGGGGATTTTATTTAGTAACAATAAACAACAACAAAATAGATTGAACCATTCTTGTTCTGAATGCTTGTTGAGTACACCTTTTGTATATAAATGTATTTGTGTTGTGTGTGGACTCCCACTGGTGCTTCTTTACTGTTATTCAGCCCTAGTTTGCCAGCACAAAATTAATTTCTATTGCTCTGGGAATAGTGCGTCTTTCTTTCTTTACTAGTATTGTATTATTTATAACGTGAAAGATTTGGATATCTTAATTGTTAGGGTTGAACTTTGCTTAGTAGAAATCAAACCATTTCTAGAGTTTATTATAAGGGATAAAAAGTATTTTCTACTGAATAATTTGTGTTTATATGTTATTTCAGTTTCTGTTACTATGGCAATGACGGCAGGGACTACAACCACCTTTCCTATGAGCAACCATACCCGAGAAAGAGTGACTGTGGCCAAGCTCACGCTGGAGAATTTTTATAGCAACTTAATTTTACAGCATGAAGAGAGAGAAACCAGGTATAGTAACGGCTAGTCAAAATTTTCTGTTTAAATAAACCATTATGCTGCAAGTAGAGTATAAATATGTTGCCCATTAATTATATAAAAGTGTAGAGCCCTGTGAGTTGTTTTTAAGTTTCTTATCCTGACAATAGATCTAGTTATTTGTTTTATTTTTGCAGAATAGTTTCTTGTTTGTATTCATATACTTATTTCAAATGAGATGTTTTAAACAGAACGTTTCCAACCATAAAATTATGATACAACTTTTTTCTTTTAGAGGAAGGTGTTATGAATAATTTACTTAAATCCAAAAACATTTATAGAGTTGTGTGTCTATAAGTGGGAATGGAAGAATGAAAAATGAAAGATGTTTTGCCTTCAGGAAACTTATAGTAAGGGAGATAATGCACATAAATACTACATGAAAGAGTAAAAATTATCACTAAGAGAAGAGCAAAGAAGAGAGAGATTGCTTTTGCCTGAGGCAGCTGGGAGGGCTTCATGCATGGTGGTGGCATTTAAACCGGGCTCTAAAGAAAGAGTCCTATTTATGCTACATAACAGAGAGAAGAAAGAAAGAAGAGTAGAAGGAAAGGCGTTAGAGACAGAAGAAATCATCTTCAGTGCTAGGTCAGGCCCCATTCAGGTTGGCTCAAGCTGAAGGTCAGCAATCCCTGGGAGCCTTGGGTGCTTTGTTAATGTGTTATTCTCATGGCAGTAGAGGGCCTCCATGCGTTTCAACAGAAGACTCACATGATGGCAGGTGTTTCTCTGGAAGAGTACTTTAATTGTGATGTATAGAATAGACTGTGGGAGGAGGAATTAGAAACAGGAAAGGCTAGTGATGTAGTCCAGGCAAACAGAAAGGAGGCTTGAATTAGGATTGTGACAGCAACAATACAGAAGAACTGAAGGGTGAGAAAGATTAAAAAAACATGGAAATTAGCCAAATATGAAATGTGAAAGAAACAAGTCAAAACAAGTCCATACTGGCTCTGAAATGTCATGCCTAGGCAAACAGAGTGGTGCAACTTTAGCAAAGTAGGACTCAAGAAGAAGAATCAGGTTTTGAACTTAATTTTGGATAGGTCTTCCTGCAGATGAGACACAGCTGATAATTAGAGCTAGAAGATAATACAATTATTCAGAAGTCTACCTAGAGAGACAGAGTAAGAAAATAGGAGAGAAAAGAAACATAGAGGCTAGTGAGAAAAGCTAATGTACCTTCAAAGTTCCTAAAGGAAGAGAGGAAGAGAATGGAGCAGAGGCAAGTTAAACTGAGAGTTCGTCATCAGAAAACATTCCAGAAGATACTATTTAGGCAGAAGGAAAGTGATCACAAATAGAAGGCGTAAATGTAAATAGGTGGATAAATTTCAACAAAATCAACTATATAGAAATAACAATAACACTAATAATGTCTTAAGCATTTTTTAAAAATAGAATTAAAATATTTGCTAACAGTTGACTGTCAGGAGGGAAGTAGAATTAAAATGTCTTTAGATATCTTTGTATCTCTTAAAGATAAAACATAGATGGGATAAAGATTAACTTCAGACTTTGACAAATTAAGTGTGTATGTAATTTCTAGGATAGCCACTAAAAGAACAAAAATGCAGTTTGTAACTCCCAAACCTGTAGAAGGAAAATGGAATTAAGGGGGGAAATCAGTTCAAAAGAAGGCAAGAGAAAATGAAAGACTGAAATACCAAGTAGTAGGCACAAATAGAAACCACAAAATAAGTGAGAAATAAATCCAAATGTAGAAGTAGTTACACTAATTGTGAATGTAAAGGAAGTCTCTGGAAGTGATCAGTCGTCAGGGAGAGAACGAGGTGGAAGAGCACCAATGAAAGTAAAAGCTGGGTTTTTTCAGGAGGTGGGCACTTGAGTTATTCATCAGAATTTTAAAGGTTCATTGTCTTTTCCTGCTGAAACCTTAAAGGAATTCAGTTTTCACCTCTATTTAAAACAACGGAGAGTAAGAATAAAAGTACCCGCTCTTATTAAAAATCAAACACACAGAAAATGAGTCTTAGCTTGGTGGTGCTGTGGAAGTCATAAACATTTCGTACCACACTTTGTGAAGTCTGTGATTGTCTAACCGCTGTGCTGTACACCTGAAACCAATACAAAGTATTGAGTGTAAACTGTAATTGAAAAAAATAAAATAAAAATTATTGTATTATTAAAATAATAATAAAAATACATAGTAAAAACAGTTTATACTTTAAGAAAACATGTGATGAAGTTTTAAGGCTTAACTAATTAGATAAATACATAAGCCAAATAAAATACCAATCAAAGAACAAAATGTCAGAGCATTCTAGGAGGAAAACTATTTTTTAAAAAGGTACAAGAGAAGTCATGGTGCAAACAGATGAAAGTGACTGCCTCTCTCCCCTGAATGAGAGATGATTTCATGAAGTGTTAATCTTGGCAAGGACAGGGTGCAGTAGAGATTTGAGAAGAACAGAGTTGCTTGTATGTTGCTATCCCTCCCAGATTAACAGGTTTCTTACTCTTTGGATTCTTTCTGCAGAGGAGAAAACTCTCATTCAGCAAGCAGCTCTGCAGGCCCAGAGGTGCATGGTGGCAGGCACAGAATCTGATGTTAGGCGCTTATTCCAGTCTAAGGTTGGGCTTAGGGGAATAATATGTAAACAAAAGATAAAAATCTGTGGTAAGCACCAAGGTTCCTATTACAAATGCTGAGAAAGTGGATGAAGATTATGTTATTTAGATATTTTTGCTAGGGATTTTCCTTAAGAAAGAAAAAGAAGTGATCTTAATAGGTTAGGAAAAAGCTTACCTTTGGACATATTGTTAAAAATAACAAATACCAAACAGTGTATGATAGTTTCAACCTTCAGCCCCTATCATGCGGATAAATCCTGGAAAGTTCATCTTATTCTAGCCTACTCCAAAGCTAATTAGGAAGAGCTCTCTTCACTTGGAGATGAGTTGCAAAATTTGTACCACAACCAGTTCTCTAGTTTAGTTCATGCATCTTGTCCCTTCACCATCCTCCCCATGTCCACAATTCTTAGATTAACTAACCTCAAGGGTGCCACTTTAAAATAACAAGTAACTTGGCTATACCTTGAAAAGTAAATGTTCTGCTGGTCAATGGGTTAGTTTTTATATACATAGATGACTTCTTACTTTATAAAGAATTATATTAGAGTAAAATATACTCAATTGCATTAAACGTTTTTCCTTGATTTATTAGGAAATCAAGCTTAGACAAGTGAAGGATGTAGACAAGCTAATTTAGCGAACAAGTGTTAGAATCAGAATTTAAATGGATGTCCACTTTAAAAATTTATATTTTTCAGTCACTATAGTTACCTTTAAATACATCTAATATAAATATTGATATATGTTAATGATTTGGGTGGTTTGAACATTAGATAAGAGAGTTTTCCTTCTTAGAATATTAGTCACCTTTGCTAACAATTCATTTAGACAACTTTAGAAGTAAATTTTATTTGGCCAGTATGAGAAAGCTAAATCTGACTTGGGTTTATATTGTGAGAAAGAAAACTATACTTAGTGATTATTTTGATTCAACTTGAAAGATAGTTTTAGAATAGCAAATTGAAATGGTAAACTTGAATAAATAAATGTACATTTTATAAATGGGAATAGTTAGGAATGTATTTACAATTTAAATTATTTTTTCTTTTGTTAAGGCAGAAGAAATTAGAAGTGGCCATGGAAGAAGAAGGATTAGCAGATGAAGAGGTAATGTTAGCTGTGATTAGCTGTGAATACAGTAGTTAACAATACTGTATTATGTGCTTGAAAGCTGTAAGAGAGTGGATCTTAAAAGTGCTCACTGCAAAAAAATAGTGGTTATGTGAAGTGATGGGTATATTAACTAACCTGATTGTGGCAATCATTTTGCAGTATGTAAATCATCACGTTGTATACCTTAAATTTACACAATGTTATATGCCATTTATTTCTGAATAAAGCTGAGGTGGGTAAAACAGTAATTACTGTACAAAAGCAACCCAAGCCACTTTTGCGTTTATTGTTATCATATAACTTTACAACTTAGATAATGTGGATTTTATCACTTGAATATGGGCTTCTTTCTTTGTCGCTGTGATGGGTATCTTTAAAAGGAAGCAGCTTTTTAAAAAATCCCAAGGACGTAGATTTAGTGTACAGTATCTGCAGTATTTAAGGTTTGTGGAACAAGAAAAGAGGTTTCCAACAAGAATCAATGAATTGCCAAATTTTCTCTAAAACTTTTCTAAATACTATCCAGGGCCACTACCCTAATTTATACTACTATATATTTCACCTGAAGAATAAGTACCCCCAATCATCATGCTTCCTCTAGTCTTGGCCCCACTCCCACCTACAGTTTTTCTGCATACTGCAACTAGGGTTATTTGTCTAAAAACAAATTGGACCACATCACTCTTTTTTGGCTTAATATTCTTCATTGGCTCCTGAACACTCTCAGGATAAGAGCAAACTCTTTTTTTTAAAATGTTTTTATTGATTTCTTAGAGAAAGGTAGAGGGAGAGAGATAGAAACATCCATGATTGAGAGAAACATCAACATCGATCTGCTGCCTCCAGCACACCCCACAGTGAGGATCGAGCCCGTGACCCAGGCATGTGCCCTGACTGGAATCGAACCAGTGACCTCTTGGTACACAGGACAGTGCTCAACCGCTGAGTCACACCAGCCGGGCAAGAGCAAACACTTTAACATTGGTATACAAGACCCCCTGTTGGCCTTGGCTTATCTCTCTATAGCCTTATCTCTTGTTACCTCACTCCTACACTGACCAATAACATCGACTTACTTTGATTTCCACACTCTTGCCTGTGGACCATTTTACATGTTATTTCTGCATTTTAGAAGTTCCTTACTCCTGCCTAACTCCCAAGAAGCTTATTCTTTAAGAAGCTTTAGGTCTCACTCTAAGCATCACTTCCATGGGGAAATCTTCCCCAATCTCTTCAAGTGGTACTTGTGCATTCTGCTATAACACTGTTGCTGTCCCTGTGCTAGCCTTAAAGTACCATCTTCGCAGAGTAGAAACTCCGTAATTGCTTATTTAGCATTATATCTCCAAAGCGGGCAGAAGGCTAGAATAAATACTTCGTGAACAATAATTGGATCTTACCCTCAGGAGTTTTTTTTTTTTTTTAATTTTTTAAATTTTTTATTTATTTTTAGAGAGGAAGGAAGAGGGAGAAAGAGAGAGAAACATCAATAAGAGAGAACATCTGTTGGCCGCCTCCTGCATGCCCCCACTGGGGATCGGGCCCACAACCTGGGCAGGTACCCTGACCGGGAATCGAACCAGCAACTTCTTGGTGTATGGGTCGATGCTCAACCACTGAGCCACACCAGCTGGGCATTACCTTCAGGAGTTTACAGATTAGAAGGAGAGATTACATATATGTGCGTGTAAAAATATGTATACATGATGGGATGTGGCAAAATTTTAAAAAATACAGAGATTCCCCCCGGCCTCAAGTCAGGGGAATCAGAGATGTTTCATGGAAGATGTAACAATTGATTTGAATCTTTAAAAAGTAGGTAGAATTTACATTAGAGTTGAGGAATATATACACAAAATGATGATGACTATATTTGCAGGATAATGAACGATAAAGGGTGCAGTAAAGGAAATAGCAAGGTATAGAATGGAAAAGCGAGGATTGGAATAGTTTACTGAGACATGTATACTTTGTTTTTATTTTCTAGGCAATAGGGAGATACAACCTAGATCAATTAGTTTCACAGTTTTCAATTATCAGAAAAGAATTTATATAGTATTTAAAGAGTAGTCTTCCAAATGATTATTTGAAATCAAACCATTATCTAATCTTCCCCACACCTTTCCTAGGATTGTACCTGTTTTTGTTTATATTTGTAGTGTTAAATCAAATAAAATATTTCATGATTTATACCAAAGGTGATTACTTCGTTAGTCAGTTGACTCAATCTAGAAAACTCATATTTTACTATAATAATGTTTTTAAAACTCATTTTATCTGTTCTTTAAGTTTTAAGTGAGAAAGTTAATTGTTTAGATCTATATTTCAATCTATGGAGAAAAAAATAAGACTAAGCACATCTTTCCTCAGTTATTAATATTAAATACTTTCTTATTAATAATCTTATAATTATATCAATATACATTATGTATCATTATATTTGTATAGAAATCTTATACGTAAGATCTTAATTTGAAACCTGGAAGGTATATTACAAAAACAGGTGTCCAAGGCCAAGCAGGTAACATAAATAAGAGAAGTTGGCTAGTTTGGTTTTATAATGTCATCTTAGGTTGTATTATTTTGATTTAACATACTTTGTTTGCATATTCAATTCATAGGAATATTTTTTTCACTGCTAAAAGAAAATTTTTTTTCCTTTTTCTAAAATATTGGATCCTCACAGTGTCTTTTGATAAAGTCATGCCATGTTTCACTTTACTGAAAAGAAACAAGAGTACCAGCCCACTGATACATTTCACCTGGTGACTGGCACCAGTGGTGGAGACTGCAAGTTAGAGAACCAGTGCCCATCTAAAGAGCACTGTCACTGATGGCCTGGAGTTTTTCAGGAGAATCTGGAACTCTGGACTCTTATGTGAAATCACCTGCTTTTAAAAATATTGACAAGTAATTCAAATGTTTTAAAATAACTTGCAGGCCAAGTCAGATACATCTGTAAATCTCTTGTCTATATCAGGAAGTACTAAGTACATTAGAACTGTTTTTATTAATTCTTCTAAATAATTTGTAGAAAATGTGAGATGATTTACCCTCTAAAATATAGTCAATCACCCATAATAACCATTAATAAAACTAAAATTTTTTAGTAAAAGTATTTTAATTCCACAGGTGATTATTGTTAGGCCCCAGGCAAGGTCCTAGATTAGGTCAAATTCTATAAAATAGACATATTTTCTCAGCCTAATATAAACTATATGTGGAATGGGTTTTTCTAAAATAAAATTGTTTTATTAAAATAACCTAGTTTTTTAATGAAAGCTAGTATTCATCCTTAACTCATTCTGTAATAGAAAATTATTTGTGCATATATGTAATATAGTCATGAAAAGTATACATGCTAGCTGAACCTTTTCATATCCTAAAACTTCTGTGCACGCTGTTTTATACAAAAATCTCTACAGATGGAGAGTTTGAGGAACACCCAGTTATGGAGGAATGAAGAAAGGAAGAACATGATGTATTCCTAGCAAATCCCATTAAGCATGGGATATTATTTACTCTAATGGAAAACCAAAATAGGCAAGTTTAAGCCACAAAAATGAGCCATGAAATGTTAACTTTGTCCACAGATTATTTATCTCTTCTTTGGAGAGGAAAGATGTGATTACCACAAAAATGTTACTTATTTTTCAAGGCAACTTAATCTACACAAATCATGAGCAGACAGGTCAACGTGCTTTTTTCTATCATATTTTTTTAATGCGAACTTTCTCAAACTACCTCTGGACTACAACTTTAAGATTTAAGGCTAATATCATGGAAATAGATTTTTTAAAGTAATGTAACAATGTTATAGGCGATATCCCACTTTTGTAAGATTACATATTCCTCCCACACACTTGGGATTCTCCTTTTTTGCCATTAAATAGCTGTCTCCAACATATAAACATTGTTTACTTTACTTGCTGCATTAAACAGCCTGTCAAATATTAATAAACAATATTCTCTCTAGTTGCTTCTCTATCAATTTTGAGTATAATTTATGAAACTGTGTAATAAGGTCATCTTTCCATTTAGATTACACAAGTGTCTGAAACTCCATCCAACTGTACTGTTTACTCTGTTTTATAACCCATAAAGTCAGAAATCCAGAATGTCTTTCAAAATTCTTATACTTATTGATTTATATAATTAAAAAGGGGGAGGGGGGTGAGTCTTTAATGTTTTGAGTGACAGTGTTACAGTGCCACCATGTGGCCTTTTAAATTAAGGCATAGAGTCTAAAACTGCTTTTTTGATCTTTTTGTTTTACTAGTAATTCAGGTTTTTTAAACTGTTCTTCAGAAGGCATTTTTGAACAAAAAAATAGTCTTTACTGTTTCCACTATTGATGTGCCTGAGTGTGTAACTTCATTTAGCTGCTTAAAGATGTTTACATTGAAGACATAGTATCTTAATTTATCCTCTTAGATTAACTTTGCTAGAAGTATCAGAATTCCATTGCATTGATGGTACATATTTACATATTTCTAATTAATAATTTACCTTACCCTTTTGAAAACATATACAGAGGGATAGGGAAGAACCATTTAGTGGTTATGCCTTGAACCACATGTAGGAGCCATGTTTCTGAACCGAACCACTGAACACTTGAAGTTGAACAGGGGTTTAATTTTTTTCACTGATTTTGTTTATTTCCCACTTTATGTTACCTCTACTAGGAGCTATGTCAAAAAACAGATTTTTGTTTGTTGAGGGAAAAAATGAAATATAGAGCAATAAAACTAATGACCATTCCAAATGTAATCTTCAGGTATTTCATAATGTTTCTTATTAACGCTTGCTTTTTTGTGTGTGTGTGATCTCTAGAGGATGAATTATGAAATTCCTGACTTGAATGTTTTAATGAATTCTTTTGTAATTATCTTTGTTGCAATTTCATATTTTCAGGAATTTGTGTGACAAGTCTCAAGCAGTTTATTAAAATCTGTCCAGGAATAAATTCTACCATAATCAGATCTCTATGGAAACACTGTTTTGTTATTTTGGTGTTGTAAATCTCAGTAGTTGTGACAGAGCAACCTTGGGATTTAGGGACTTGAAGCAAAGTAGATTTCTTGACAAAGTAAAAATATCAAAATACTGTTGGCATTTTCTCAAGTTTAATTTTTATTTGTGAATTAAGTTAGCATATAGATGAAAAAATATCGTGAACTAGTTAAGATGAAATAATCATGGGAGTATACCTCAAGAATAAAGATTTATCAGTTGTTAAAAATAAAAAAAGTTTTCTTTAGATTGTTTTAATCTTTCCATGCTTGATAAATATTTGACTTTGGTAAATGAATAATAGCACCAGTATATAATATATAAGCTACTTCACTCCCATCTTTATGTGTCTCATCTTTTAATACTGTAGGTTTCCTTTGAAACAATCTGATTATAAAGTCATCTTTTTAAACTGTTTTTTCATAGAAAAAGTTACGCCGATCACAACATGCTCGCAAGGAAACAGAATTCTTACGGCTCAAGAGGACCAGACTCGGCTTGGATGACTTTGAGTCTCTGAAAGTTATAGGAAGAGGAGCATTTGGAGAGGTGTGGTTCTTTTAAAAAATCACTGCCATTATATATATATATATCTTAAGATAGATTAAAATAATTTAATATATATTAAAATAGTTTAATTTGAATAGAATTTCTAAAATACCATGAATGGCAAATTGCAACCCTCTTTTCTTTTAAGGAACCTACCTTTTGCTCCTGAATAAATAACATTTATAACGTGATCAATTTGTACATCTAGGTACGGCTGGTCCAGAAGAAAGATACAGGTCATATCTATGCAATGAAGATATTAAGAAAAGCTGATATGCTTGAAAAAGAGCAGGTATGTTCTTTAACACAGGCAGCCAGAGGAACCTCCAATGACTGGTGTTAGAATAAGTGCTGATGTTAGAATTTTTAAAAGAATTCTACACCTCTTACTATATAATCTATTAATTTTTCGAGAGCTTTTTTCATGTTTCTCAGTTCTTATAGTTAAAATTTCTTCTAAATTTATAATCTAAATATGTAGTAGTCTGTTCAGGCTGCCATAACAAAGTACCACAGACTGGGTGACTTAAACAACAGAAATTTATTTTCTTACAATTCTGGAGGGTGGAAGTCTAAAATCGAGATTCTGGCAGGGTTTGGTTTCTGGTGAGCGTCTTTTCCTGGCTTCAGGCAGATGCTGTCTCATTAGTCCCCACACAGCCTTTCCTTGGTGTGGACACAGAGAGGAGAGTGGGGAGCTCTCTGGTGTTTCTTCTTATAAGGACCCCAATCCTGCCCCGCCCCTTGATGCCACTCACCCTTAATTACCTCCTTAGAGGCCCCATCTCCAGATCCAGTTCTCCTAGGGGGTTTGAGCGTTATTATGGAACTTTGTGGGGAACACAAAAATTCAGTCCAAAATAAAATACCTTCTTTTCTGACTTCAGTGAAAATAAAGAATTGTTCTCAGTACTCTCCATCCCTGTCACATCTCAAAAGAGCAAGACCAGTCTCCTGAGAATTTGCCAGTTTTATACATTTCCAAAATCTGTAACCACTCCAATTTCGTATTTCTGGGCTCTCTTCATGTTTCTGTGACGTAATGAAGTTTAAGTGGGAACCATAAATCTGAAAACATTAATGGTATTATTTTATGTATTCCCCCATGTTTCTAGTCTGGGCAGACACTCTGTAGAACCCTAAATTGAATACATATGCTAGTGAAGGTCTCCACAACGGGGGTTGGCGGGGGCAGATGGCACCTCTCTGTACCTACTGCTTTATCTCAGTCTTGTAGTGCCCACCTGAAGCTTACTTTGTTATTACAGCAATATAATATCAATTTTTATTTAAATGTGGCTCACTTGGATTTTCACTTTATTTCTATTTCATTCATTTAACAAGTACTTGCATGTTCCAGGTTCTTGGAATAGAGTAGTTAACAGGACAAACCTGTTAACTTTTATAGTAGTGGGGAAAATAGGCAGACAGCTATTTCAAACAGTCGTGATTAATGAGTTCTGTGAAGAAATTTTTTACAAAAGGATAAAGTCGCAGATGCTCTGGGTTTAGGAGGAAGTAGTAGCTCAGGGAATTTTTCTCTGAGGGAGGAATGTTTGAAGAGAGACTGAGTAATGAGAAAGAGTGACATATCAAGATCTGGCAGAACAAATATCCAGGTGGCAAATGCAGAGGCCCCGAGGCAAGAATACTGTTGGCCTGTTCAGAGAAGAGAAGGAGGCCATGTGGCTCCTTCCCACAAGGGGAGAGTGGTTAGAGGTGTAGTGGGAGCGGTAGGCAGGACCAGACTGTGGAGCTTTGAAGACAGAGATGCCGAGTTTGGGTTTTATTCTGAATTGAATGCACTGGGAAGACACTGGTTTTGTTTAAATGGGAGAGGCATGTCTGACTGATGTTTTACAAAGATGAATCTGTTTCTTTGCTTGTTGATAGGAGAAACAAGAGTTGAAGCAGGGAGACCAATTGAGAGAGTGTAGCAGTTCCAGGCAGGACAGGACTGTGACTTGTACTAGGGTTATAACAGTGGGACTGAAGAAGAGTCAGGCAGATTATGTGTTTCAGAGAAAGAGCCAGGTTTTTTTGTGTGATGTACTCTATGTTGGGGGATAAGAGGAAAGGAGAGGGTAGTGAGGAAAAAAGGGCAGAATCAAGGATAATACCTGGGATTTTACTTAGGAATGGTGTGCATGATGGTGTCATTTTCTGATTTAGAGAAGACCGAGGAAGGAACAGTTTTGGAGACAGTGGGAATTAAGAGTTCTCTTTGTGGTATATTAACTTTGAGCTGCTTGTTAGATATCCAAGTAGAGATATTAAGTTTACAGTAGGCTAAAATATGGGGAGAAGTTTGACTAGATGTAAAATTTGGAAGTCATCAGTATATTGATAATATTTAAAGTTACAAGACAAGATGAAATTACCAAGGGAATGAATATAGATGACAAGAAACCAGCAAAGGAAACCAAGAGAGAACATCTAATCAGCTAGTGGGAACCTAGGAGAACATGGTGTTATGGAAGCCAAGAGAAGAAAGTGTTTAAAGGGGGAGGTGACAGGTCAACCATGTTGACTGCTGCTAAGAGAGAGAGAGAACCAGAGGAAGACAGGCCACTGGGTGTCACAGTGTGGAGACAAATCCAATGTACTGGAGGGCACAGACCTACTTGGATTGGTGGAAAAGAAAATGGGAAGCGAGATAGTAAGTATAGATACACCTTTCATGTGAAGCAGGACAAAGAATAGATTGGTAAAGTGAGATTTCCGGTCAAAAGGAGGGTTTGGGGTCTTATGTTCTTTTTTGGACAGGAAATGTTTTGTGCTGATTGGAAGAACCCATTAGGAAGAGAAAAGTTGATGATGCAGGAGAGAGGGGGCAGATAATTACAAGAGAACACTGGAAGACAGGAGTTGATCTTTGATGGGAGTAGGGGCCTGTTCATTAAAACAGGAAGGAAAGGCAGGGAAAATGAGAACAAACAAAGGGTGGTGGACCTGAGAGTATGAAGTGCCAAGTTCCTGCCTGAGTGCGAATAAGTAAGATCATCAGCTCAGAGTAAAGGAGGAAGATAGCTTGTTGGAGGTGTAAGGAGAGAGGGGTTGTGAAATAGGCACAACTGTTGACTTAAGTGTGAGGAAGCAACATGCCAGGGAGATACAGTTGAATGCCCACTAAGATTTAAAGTAAATGTAAAGTGAAACCAATGGTATAATTAAATGATTTTTCTTTAGTAATACTTAGTTGCTCTGGAGAAGAATAGACACAATAGACAGAAATTCGGGGTTAACTAGGCTTGGGGTTTGACCAGGCAAATACAGTGGAGAGAGAGAGAAGGACAAGGGAATTCAAGGCATTTGCAAAGGAGTGATCATAAAGATGGAATCCAGGCTGGGTAGAGAAAGAAATGAGTTTATGAGGAGACCAACAGAAAAAATGGTAAGGCCCATGGAATACAGATTGAAGTACAAAAATAAGAGACCTGGAAGGTTAAAGGTTGAAGTCAGAAACAGTGTTACTTAATGTTGAGATTTTAGAGGGGTTACCGTTATTGGTGATGAGAAGAAGGACAAGATTACCTTGGGTGGCTGAGGTGTAGCAGAGGAAAAGATCACTGGAGTGAGGAAGAAGTCAAGGCATTGTGCGGTTAGGGTATTTAATGGTTCATCCTATGGAGCCGAAGTCAAGAATGAGTACGGGTGACTGAGCAGTTCTAGGAAGGATAGCTGCTGAGAATGATGATGGCTGATGTAGTCTCACAGCTTCACAGGAGCTGGAGAGAAGGAAAGTGTCACAGTGGTTCAGAAGCACTCATGAGAATGAGCAGGAAACCTATCCCCTCACCAAGCGACATGTGAGAGAAAAGCTGAACTCTCAGTAGACACACAGCTTGGGTTCAGTTAGCATGAGAAGGTGATAGGGGTTTTGTTGAAGACGGACTGATTACCAAGGGTTTGGAAGACAAGGAAGGTCAAGATACTGAGTTGTATTAGAGAATTATAGATAGTGATTGGATTAAAGTTTCTGGGTATGATGAAAATATGTGTCTGGGTCAAGCTGTAGAGCTTTAGAGACAAGGAGATAAACAGGAATCTATAACAAAGCCATAATGGGGTTAGTCCTGGATAGGGTTTTAAGGACAAAAAGCAGCAGTTAGGGCGTTGCTGGTGTGGCTCAGTGGTTAAGTGTTGACCCATGCACTAAGAGGTCACCGGTTCGATTCCCGGTCAGGGCACATGCCCAGGTTGTGGGCCCGATCCCCGGTGGGGGACATGCAGCAGGTGGCCAATTGATGTTTTCTCTCATCAGTTTCTCTCTCTCTCTCTCTCTCTCTCTTCTCCCCCTTCCTCTCGCTCTAAAATCAATAAAGAAAAAATAAATAAAAGCAGCAGCAGTTAGGTCCAGCTGTATTCTTTAGTTACTAGCCACATGTGGCTACTGGGCACTTAAATGTAGCTAGTCTGAATTGAGATGTGCTGTAAGTGGAAAATACACACCAACTTTTGGAGACTTGGTATGAAGAAAGAGTGTAAAATATTTCAATAATTTTATGTTGATTACACTGAAATGAAAGCATTTTGGATATAGGAGGTTATTAAATTGTATTATTAAAAACGTTCACCTGTTTCTTTTTACTTATTATGTAACCACTAGAAATTTAAAATTATATGTGTGACTTGCATTATATTTCCATTGCACAGATCTGGTCCAGAATATTTTGCCAGAAGTTGAAGAGCTTCTGACCACTGTTAGTTTTTATGCAAGGGCAATTTCAATGGACTACAACATTAAGTCTGTTTTTGTACTTTGGTGTTGATTCTTCCTATATGAATTAATCTGCATTTGTCACCACTGAATTTCATTTAGAAAACCTTTTCCCACACAATTCTTTAAAAATTTTTATTTTTATTTTTAATCCTCACCTGAGGATATATTTCCATTGATTTTTAGATAGTGGGGGGTGGGGGGGGCGGGAGAGAAACATCGATGCGAGAGACACATCGATTAATTGCCTCCTGCATGACCCCGACCAGAGTCGGAGATTTGAACCATAACTGAGGTACGTGCCCTTGATCAGAATTGAACCCACAACTCTTTGGTCCACAGGCCTAGCTCTAACCATTGAGCCAAACCAGCCAGGGCCCCACTCAATTCTAATACATCATTATTTAAAGTTTTTATCACATTTATTTTAATGCTAATTACCCCACAAGTGGCAACTTCTGTCTTCACTATTGTGGTACCAGATTCCTGTGCATGGTACTTGGGGCTATGTTGAAAACATAGGCCCATTTAGAAAACATTCTGTAATCTGGCTTTAAGATATTTAAAAATAATCAAGCCAAGTTTATGAGGTAGTTGTTTTTCCTGACAATACCAGATGCAACACCCCAAGTTTAAGGCTTTTTCTCTATCATCTTAGAATGCTTTGTAAAAGACATTAGGTGAGAATTTTGGAACAGATCCAGAGAGATTATAAAGTTCTTAATTTTCAACTTTTATTCTTGTATTCTTCGATCTCAGAGCATTTACCATACTAGCAATACAATACAGTAATCTCAAATATGATATTTTAAGCATATCATATTTTATTATCATGAAGATATTTACAAAATCTGTGTCCTCATGTACTTTGAGCCAGAATTCAAAGTGGTACACAATTAAAATAGCAAAAGCATAAAATGAAATCTTATTGGTAATTAGTCTTTCAAGAAAGAATGTATGAGTATATTAATGCAAAAACATCTGAATATTAATTATATGAACTCCACAAATTACTGAGTTTACAAAACATTCCAGCCTATAAAATGGATACCTAGTAATTGTGTATCTGACAAAGTCAGTAGCAAAACCCCCCCAAATTACATTAATTTGCTATATATCATGTTTATAGATATTATAGAGGTTTTACGTTACAACACAATAATATAAAGTTATTATAAATGTTTCTACTTCTTAAAAAAAAAACAAACATTCAAATGGTTAAAGACCAAGTCAGGTTCTTCGTTTGACTACCAACAGTTAAAAATAGTTTGCTAAGGACCCTGACTTTGTCATACCGATTTATAGAGCATTGCTTACTACTTTTTACTTTCAAAAGTCAGACTAGTGCTCTAAATTTATAAGACAAAGCCAGGATCCTTGCCTAGGTAGAGAATCTGGTCAGAAAGGTTTTAGACTAGTCATTTTTCTACCTCAGCTTCCCCTAATATACCTGTGGATCCACATTTTTAGGCCTAAATATATAAGCTAAAATAAACTATTTTCTGAAGTTCTCCATATTTAATAAAAATATGAAAATGCATATGTTCCAAATTTTTCTAAAACTCCAGCTTTTCTTCATGACTTCTAAGGAACTGTATGGATAATTGTAAGAGGTAAGCTTGAAAAATATGTAATGTGTTACAATTATTTTTTCAAAATACATTCATCTAGGTGGCTCATATTCGAGCAGAAAGAGATATTTTGGTAGAAGCAGATGGTGCCTGGGTGGTGAAGATGTTTTACAGTTTTCAAGATAAGAGGAACCTTTATCTAATCATGGAATTTCTCCCTGGAGGTAAAAGCAAGCATAATAGCAATGACAGACTGACACAAGCAAATCACTGTATGTAATTATAAGTTTATTGATTAGGTTTACTTTCAGATTTCTAGCTCTGAGGTTTTATGTACTCAGGCATGATTTTCCAATAGTTCCTCCCATAATAATGCTAATTTTGACCACAAACCAGATTATTATGAAGGAAGAACTATAAGTCACTAAAGAATAAGACAGTCCAATGGGCAAATGATAGTGCACTGAAGAGAACCCTGGCTAGTCTATAAATATATAGGAAAATGTTCAACTCCACCTGTATTCATAGAAATGCAAATTAAAACAAGAATGAGATACCACTTCACACTCATCTGATTAGTAAAAGCATTAGAAGTCAGATGAGGCTGTGGGGAAACTGGCCTCTCATTTATGTAAATTAATCTGTAACCCTTATGGAGAGAAATTCATACATAGCAGTAAATTGTAAAATGCAGGTGTCCTACAGTCCCACAATTCCACAATCAGCTGTATTCCCTGGAGATTCTCACCCACGCCCATGTATAAGAGACCTGTAAAAGGGTGCTTATTGCAGCATTGTCATAATAGTGAAAACTGGATGCAAGATAAATGTCCACCCGTAGAAGAATGGACAAATAAAATGTGGCATAAATATGTGATGAAATATTTTATAGTAGTGTTAAAAGTCATGAGCTATATCTGTTTCAAGAGTAAGATCTCAGAAACAGTGGAGTAATGAAGCAAACTATGTGATTATATGCACAGTTGATACCATTTATATAATTTTTTAAAAACCTACAAAAGACTATAAATCCATAGATTTATATACATAAGTATTTGAAAATATATTTTAAAATAAGCTGGAAGGATACACATTAAACCAAATGCATGATAATGGTTACTCAGCAAAAAGGGAAAGAGGAATAGCATGGGAATGGAGAACAAAGAATACTTCTATGTTATATAGTTTTTAAATCTTGAAGCATCATGAAATTATATTATAGTTGTCAATTTCAAGTTGTAAGTTCACCAGTGTTTGTTCTTTGCCTCCTTTTAAAGAAAAAAAAAATTCCTTGAAAATAAAAGAATGTCTGGAGGTGAGTCTTTTAGTGGAATGATGTCCTATTCTTGCTAGCCCAAAGAACTCTGAGTGTTTTTGAAACTTGAATTTAAAAGAATATATCCCGTTTCCAAGTGTGCTTATTGATTCATTTTCCAGTTTGACATGTTTTTCTCAGCAACTTATTCTGGATGTTGAGTGGTGGATATTAAGTCATAATTATCTCTGCTTTGAGTTGATTTTACATACTTTCTATCTTAAATCCATTAAGTGTCATAAAACTTTTGCTTATGCCCTTTTTTTATTTGACCCTAGAGATGTTTAGAGGTATACTGGGTGGATCATAAAATGCAAAAATCAGGCATACATTGTGTAGAAACAAAGAAAGCATTTACAAGGTAGTTCCCTTTTGAGGCATTTCCAATGCATGATACTTACTTTCTTTTATTTTTCCTATATAGGTGACATGATGACATTGCTAATGAAGAAAGATACCTTAACCGAAGAGGAAACACAGTTCTATATTTCAGAGACTGTTCTGGCAATAGATGCAATCCACCAGTTGGGTTTTATCCACAGGGATATTAAACCAGACAACCTTTTGTTGGATGCCAAGGCATGTGAATAAACTGGTGAATTATTAGTTTGCTAATTATTTTATGGAGTAATAGAGCTGATTTATGTTTGGACAACTGCAATTTATATTATTGCTAAACTACATTATTTCATAGAATAATGCAATCATCAAATATTTATGACATTACATTTCATTTGTATGAATTCTAAGCTAAGAATGTTTATAATAATTGAATTTTAAAAATTTATAATAAAGCTTTGGTTTCAAAGTTAATATGATCCACTGATTTTACTTTTTTTCTTTTTTTTTAGGGTCATGTAAAATTATCTGATTTTGGCTTATGTACAGGATTAAAGAAAGCTCACAGGACTGAGTTCTACAGAAACCTTACACACAATCCACCAAGTGACTTCTGTAAGTTTGATGTTTTTTTTGGTTTTAAAGTATAGCTGTTTTAATTCAGTACTGTTGAGAACTAAAGGAGAGGAAGGGAGAGAGAGAGAGAAACATCAATGTGAGAGAGAACATCATTCGGCTGCCTCCTACATGCCCCCTACTGGGCATCGAGCCCGAAACCCCTATAGACACGTGCCCTGACTGGGAGTAGAACTGGGACCTCTCAGTCCATGGGATAACGCTCAGTGCACTGAGCCACACCAGCCGGGCAAACCAATGCATTTATTTATTTATTTATTTTTTGGTGGTGCGTGCCCCTAGCGGGAACCAAACCCAGGACTCTCTGGTCTGCAGGCCAATGCTCAGCTGCTGAGCCAAACTGTCCAGGGCTGCATTTTAAATGTATATGTGTGAATTTGTTTTGGGATGAGACTTTTTCTCATGATGACAATTCTGTCCTGTTGAAATTAGCATTTCAGAACATGAACTCAAAGAGGAAAGCAGAAACATGGAAGAAGAATAGGAGACAACTGGTGAGTTAGTAAAGTTTTTAAGAAACAATTTGATGCCCTGGTTCTGAAATCTCCTTTGGTTTTTGCTTGATTATTTTGTATCTTTCACAATGATTAGTACCTACTTTTATAGCAATGATAGACCTTGTTCTGGGATCACACATTTTTCTTAGTCTCTCTGTAGCGTTTCTTTGCCTGTAAAGTGAAATGCTGATTTTTACTTTATGATTTAACTAGTTTATCAAGCGTATCTATAATTAACCTGTCTGTTTACTAGTAATTAGCACTGTACATAAAACTCACTGTGGTGAGTGTAATTATAATGAATGCTTTGTGATCCATTTTTCTATTTTCCATACCCATCCTGATACAATAGATATCAATCAGCATGTGTAAGTTGGTGGTGTGTTTCTAAGAACTTCTTTGTAGACAAAGTGAACCTTGGTGTGTTAGCAGTCTTATAATAAATAGTTAGAAAGCTGACTTTAACACAGATAAATTAGTCCTTTAATGTTCAATAACACTGTCTATTTTTAACCCCACACTTTCTCCTCTATTTTTCCTTTATCCTGTTAACTAGGTCTTTGAACATTCTGAAGGTTAAGAGTGTACCTTCTGACTTTGTTTTCCTAATTTCTGTACAATGCCTAGCACATATAGACACCCTGTAAATATGTTAAATTCAACAAAGTGATGAAAGTGAAATTAATTCAACATTTCCTCAAGAAGGTAAATAGACTGAAAGATAATAGTCTGATACTCTCTCAAACCAAATACAATGACCTTTGCATTATTGAGCTCATTCTCTCATTAGCCCAAGTAACTGCAAGCTTTCTGAGCTTATAAAACATTTCATTGTTTTTAAATGTTTAAAAAATGTGTTGAGCTATGCATTAACAAGAAAAACTTCCTTCTACTTTTATTTTATTTTTTAAAAAATCCTCACCCCAGGATATATATTATTTTTCTTTCTTTTTTTAAATCATCATCTGAGGACATTTTTCCATTTTTGTTCAGATAGAGTGGGAGGGAGAGAAAGGAAGAGACAGAGAGAGAGAGAAACATCGACGTGAAAGGGACACATCGAGTGGCCGCCTCCCGCACGACCCCAACCAGGGCCGGGAACGAATCGCAACCGAGGTACGTGCCGTTGACCAGAATCAAACCTGCAACTCATTGTTCTGTGGGCCGATGCTCTAACCTCTGAGCCAAACTGGCCAGGGCTATATTTTTTTCTATTATCTTCAGATAGAGTGGGAGGGAGGGGGGAGAGAGACAGAGAGAAGGGGAGAGAGAGAAAAACATCAATGTGAGAGAGACACATCGACTGGTTGTCTCCCTCATGACTCCGGCCAGGGCCAGGGATGAACTGCAACCGAGGTATGTGCCCTTGACCAGAATTGAACCCGAGACTCATTGGTCCTCGGGCCAGTGCTTTAACCGCCGAGCCAAACTGACCAGGGCCTTCCTTCTACTTTTAAACATGTCATTTTTAGATCAGATTTTACAATTGAGAAAAGATTTGCAGTATTTCCTACTTTAAAAGGGGAAAACCAATACTGCTTAAAAATATAGTGAGAATTCTGTAACCTTCCTGTTTACAGAAGATTACTTATGTGCCTGTATTCCTCTACCCACTAAATGCCAATCATGTCCTCCCCCAGGTCACTGAAATGACAAAATCTGCTGTCACACATTTTCAAATGGCCCCTAGAGTACTACCCTTAGTTGAGAAATATCTCTTTAAATATAGTTTTTAATTAATTTATTTATTTTTGTTACAGATGTTTTGCCTCTTTTCCCCCAGACACTCTCCTCCCTATATTACTTATTTTATTTTATTTTATTTTAATTATTTTTGGTTTGTGCCCCTAGCAGGAACCAAACCCGGGAATCTCTGGTCCACAGGCCAATGCTCCAACCGCTGAGCCAAACTGGCCAGGGCTCTTTAGTTTATTTTTTGTTTGACTTTATATGAATTAAGAATGAAAAACTGGCCCAGCCTGTGTGGCTCACTGGTTGCACCAAGAGGTCGCCGGTTCAATTCCAGTCAGGGCACATGCCCAGGTTGTGGGCCAAATCCCCAGTGGGGGGCATGCAGGAGGTGGCCAGTCGTTGTTCTCTCTCATCGATGTTTCTATCTCTCTCTCCTTCTCCCCTCTTCTCTCTCTAAAATCAATAAAGGAGGAAAATAAAAAGAATGAAAAACTGTATTGCTTCCTAATGGATGAGCAGTGGCCTAGAATTAGATTTATAATGAAAACACCTGATGTTTATAAATAGTAGGTTGTAGTAGTTTACAAAGCACATTCCTTTTCTTGTTTTATCCTCATATCAACTGTGCAGGCAGGTATTATTACTTCAATTTTATGTAAGCAGGAGCTGAGGCTCAGAGAGGTTGAATGACCTGCCTACGAACACAGTAGTGAATGGGAGAAGCCAGGTCTACTGGCTCAACCTTTTTATTCTTTTGAAATGGATTTAGGACTAAATATGTAAATAACTTAATTGAGCTTTTAGGGGGACAGAAATCATGTCTTAAATAACATATTATCTGACTCAGTACCTGTCACTTAAGCCTTATACATGATAAACATGCAAAACAAGTATTAAAAAATGAAAAAGTTCTGTATACATTACTTTTTACAGTAGCGAGTCATACTCATATCTTTCAAAAAATATATTAAAAATGCTGGTTTGACAAGCTGTTCCTTTGCAGGCATATTCCACCGTTGGGACGCCGGATTACATTGCACCAGAGGTTTTCATGCAGACTGGTTATAACAAATTGTGTGACTGGTGGTCTTTGGGAGTGATTATGTATGAAATGCTAATAGGTATGTTTTATCATTCATTTATGTACATATATATAAATTTCCTTGAGTGCTACTGATTGAACATATGCAGATTGCATGGGCTAACGTATCAGAACTCTTTTAAACCAATGTCTGACCCCCTCCCCCACAATGTTAAATATGCAATCATAGATACCAACAAGCTCCCTAGGGATCTGGTTTCAGGAAGTGGATATTTATTGAACTTCCATGTATCAAAATTGTATCTGCATGACATTTCAGGTAAAAGGGAAGAAGAGAATCCTTTAAATCCTTTATTTTATTGACTTCATTAGGAATTTTATTATAAATTGAGACTGGTGGCATTTTTTATTGTTAAATAGAGCACTCAGGGCTGCTTTGTTTCTTGTGACACATGTACTGGTATAACATATTTGATTATAAATGTTGATAAAACTCTTGTTTTCTCTGATAACATAGGATATCCACCTTTCTGCTCTGAAACACCTCAAGAAACATATAGAAAAGTGATGAACTGGAAAGAAACTCTGATATTTCCTCCAGAGGTGCCTATATCTGAGAAAGCCAAGGATTTAATTCTTAGGTTAGTGGTTAAATCCCTAGAGGAGGGTTGTCTATCTTAAAATTTCACAGGTATCTAAAGACTGAATTGGTGTTTTCACTTTTGTGGGAGGGAAGGGACTACCACTGATATATTGAATCAAGGAGATCAATAAAGAAAAGGTGTTTTTTTTTGTTTGTTTGTTTGTTTTTTTTAATGCAAACTCTAAAAAGGAAGTATGCAGGAGAAAACAACAACTGAGAGTTAAGAAGAGGGAACAGGTCTTCTGTTGTTTCAAAAGTCACTCCTATTATAACACAGTGGCTTATCCCACTAAAGAGGGAAGGAAAAAGAAACTTAGTAGTTCCTATGCTAAAAGTCTTTGTATGAAATCTTATCTAAGCAAAGGATTCCATGTTGTTTCTCAATTAAGATGAAGTGTTTTGATTCTGTTGTAAATTGCTGGAAGGAATATAAATTGGGACAACCTATGGGAATCGCCATTGGCAACATATTATGAAAAATCTTTAAGCTGTATGTGACCTTTGACCCAGCAGTTCTGCTGGGAATTTTGCTTATGCAGATAATCAGACGTGTATAAAGATTTGGGTATAGTATTTTTTTATGATACTGTTTTTAGTAATGAAAAATTGAAAACCATCAAAATGTTCAACAGTGGTGGACTGGCTAAATAAATTATATTATGTCCATATACAACTTTTAGAAAATGAGGTTATAAAAAAATTCTTAATGACTTTCAGGAATTTTCTCAATATATTAAGTGGAAAAAAGTCCCCAAATAGTAACTTATGTATTAATATAATGTTTTACAAATTATAATAAAAGACTATATAGAAATGGCTTCAACCTGTTTATAGTAGTTATCTCTGAATGATATGCAATTACAGATAATGTATATGTTCTACATTTCCCACAATAAACAGTGAACTTCAGTAAACACAGTGAAATGTTTGGACTAATGCAAATAGAATACTTTAAATGTAATTTTCATATGATAATTTCTCTGTTCATTTTCTAGATTTTGTATTGATTCTGAAAACAGAATTGGAAATAGTGGAGTAGAAGAAATAAAAGGTCATCCTTTTTTTGAAGGTGTAGACTGGGGGCATATCAGGTATGTTCAAAGGCTTTGAATGGGAGAGCTCTGAGTAAAAAAGATTTAGTGATTAATTTGTCTCTGATTCTGCTGGATTAAATACAAGAAGTGACACAGTTACAGTGTTAATTAAATCAGTGTTTTCCAGATTATGTGAGTAAGTGAGACTATAGTGGCAATAGCTAAATGACTGTTTTAACTGATGTGCACTGTAGGGGGAAAATAACATATTGTACACCTGGTTAGAGTTTGTATACAGAGTTTCATGCTGAAGGCCATTAGCACAACCAAGTTGTATTTATATTTCACATTATAATCTTTCATTTTTTCCTCTTATTATACCATATTTTGTCTCCTTTACTAATTTATAAGGTACAATTAATATAATTAATTTAAACACATTATGGGAGAAGTTAAATAATACAAGTAGCTTATAAGAATTTGCTTATAGTCTAGCCAGTGTGGCTCAGTGGTTGAGCATCAACCCATGCACCAAGAGGTCTCTGGTTCGATTCTTAGTCAGGACACATGCTCAGGTTGTAGGCTCGATCCCCAGTGGGGGACATGCAGGAGGCAGCCAATCAATGTTTTCTCTCATTGATGTTTCTATCTCTCTCTCCCTCTTACTTCCTCTATCTCTAAAATCAATAAAGGAAAAAAAAAATTTAAAAATAAATTTGCTCATAGCTCTTAATTGTGAGCATTGGCTTTTATTCAGTTTATGGCCAAATCACCTTCAGTATAGATCATGCCATTGTCTTCCTTCCCTTTGCACTTAGAATAAAATTAGGTGCATGTCAAGACGGTGTGGTATGGCTCCTACCTCATTGCTACAGGTTGCATCTTGTATGATCTTCCCCCCTCCTGTCTCATAGCTTTGTCACTTGCTGTTCATTCTGACTGAAATGCTCTCCTCCTCCCTGCCGTTGTTCCTGCCTCTGCCAAGCCAGCTCCTTCCATCTTTTAAGACGCCTTATGTATGTGTCACTTCCTCCATGTAGATCTTAGGTGTTAAGCACTCTGTTACAATGGTGGCTTTTTTTTTTTTTTTTTATCATTATATGTCCAGCACTTTTCTAAGTATTTTATGTAAATTTTGTCTCCTCATAATTAATCTTATAAAATAGGTACTATGATTTTCCCTGTTTTACAAATGAGGAAACCAAGGCATAGAGAAGTGACTTGCTTACAGCACCACAGCTAGTAAATGATCTAGTTAGAACTGCTAACTGGAATTGGACCCAGGCAATTTGATTCTGGAATCCTGGCTCTTAACTGCACACGTTGTATTATACTATACCTACATCATTTCCTGAACAGAGCTATGCTTCCTGCCTTTTACAGCGAGAAGGGTGCTGAGAGGGTGCTACCAGTCCAGTCTCTTGTTTTGTTTGTTTGTTTGGTTGGTTTGTTTATTTTATTTTGAATTCTATTTTTGTTACAGATGTTTCTCCTTTTTTACCCCATTGACACCCTCCTCCCCATCCCTCCCACCCCATCCCCGGCTTTGTTGTCCATGTCCATTGGTTATGTGTACATGCATATAAGTTCTGTGGTTTATCTCTCTTCCCTCCCCCCACCACCCCCCTTCTGAGGGATGTCAGTCTGTACCCTACTTCCATGTTTCTGGGTCTACCCTATTTCTCAGACTGTTATGTTCATTATATTCCACAAATAAGTGAGATCATGTGGTAGTTGTCTTTTTCTGCTTGGCTTGTTTCACTTAGGATAATACTTTCCAGGTCCCTCCATGTCATCTCAAAGGATAAGAGATCTTTCTTTCTTACAGCTGCATAGTACTCCATTGTGTATATGTACCACTGCTTTTTTATCCATTCGTCTACTGATGGACACTTGGACTGTTTCTAGATTTTAGCTATTGTAAATAGTGGTGCTATGAACATGGGGGTACATATATTCTTTCTGATTGGTGTTTCAGGCTTCTTAGGGTATATTCCTAGAAGTGGGATCACTGGGTCAAATGGCAGTTCAATTTTTAATTTTTTGAGGAAACACCATATTGTTTTCCATAGTGGCTGCACCAGTCTGCATTCCCACCAGCAGTGTACTAGAGTCCCCTTTTCTCCACACCCTCGCCAACACTTGTTGTTTGATGATTTGTTGATGGCGGCCATTCTGACAGGTGTGAGGTGATACCTCATTGTTGTTTTTAATTTGCATCTCTCTGATGATTAATGATGTTGAGCATTTCTTTATATGTCTCTTGGCCATTTGTATGTCCTGTTTGGAGAGGTGTCCATTCAGCTCCTCTGCCCATTTTTTAATTGGGTTCTTTGTCTTCCTTTTGTTGAGTTGTATGAGCACTCTATATATTTTGGAAATTAACCCCTTATCTGGCAATGATGTTTTCCTATACAGTGAGTTCCCTTTCCATTTTGATGCTTGTTTCTTTTGCTGTGCAAAAGCTTTTTAGTTTGATGTAGTCCTATGTGTTCATTTTTTCCTTTGTTTCTATTGCCTTAGGTGATGTATCAGTGAAAATTCTGCTGCATGTGATGTCCGAAATTTTGTTGCCTACATTTTCTTTTAGAATTTTTATGGATTCACAGGTCACATTTAAGTCTTTTATCCATTTTGAGTTTACTTTTGTGTATGGTGTAAGTTGATGGTCTAGTTTCATTTTTTTGCATGTAGCTGTCCAATTTTCCCAACACCATTTATTAAAGAGGCTGTCTTTACTCCATTGCATGCTCTTGCCTCCTTTGTCAAATATTAATTGAGCATAATGTCTTGGGTCCATTTCTGGGTTCTCTGTTCTGTTCCACTGGTCTATATGCCTGTTCTTGTGCCAGTACCAGGCTGTTTTGATTACACTAGCTTTGTAGTATAACTTGATATCTGGTATTGTGGTCCCACCTACTTTGTCCTTCTTTTTCAAGATTGCTGAGGCTATTCGGGTCTTTTTTGGTTCCATATGAACTTTTGAAGTATTTGTTCTAGTTCTGTGAAATATGTCGTTGATATTTTGATGGGGATTGCATTGAATCTATAGATTGCTTTGGGTAATATGGACATTTTAATGATGTTAATTCTTCCAATCCATGAACAAGGTATGTGCTTCTAGAGGGGGGCTGGGAGCCCACAGACAGTCTCTTGGTTTTATAATGAGTAACAGTCACAGAGCAGAGACTTGCCTGCCTAAAGGCATATTGTTAGTTCATGATTAGATTAGATCTGAGGGCACTAGGTCTATGGTTCTTTCCACTAAACTAATATAAATTGATGACATATAAATAACTTGGAATAGTTCTGGAAAAAATATATACATGCTTCTACATAATTTTGTAAAGGTATCACTGAATAGCTCCAGTGCATATTTATTGAAAATACAGAGGCAATAAAAGTTGATAGTTTCTTTTAACTATTTCTATACTTTAAAACTTTTAGCATGGTAAGAAGGCATTGTCATGCTGATATTTTTAATCAAATATCCCTGATTCTCTTAAAATTTATATGACTGAGAAGTTTTTGGATTCCGATTTCATCACAAATGTGTAATCCCTTTACCCTTGGCTTTCCTTATTCTCTCAAATGACTTTTAAAAAAAAATCTTTATTGTTGAAAGTATTACAGATGTTCCCTCTTTTTTCCCCCACTGACTCCCTCCTCCCCACCTTCACCTAACTGTTGTCTGTGTCCATTGGTTATGCATAGATTCATATAAGTTCTTTGGTTTATTTCTTCCCACCTTCTCCCTCCCTTCCCTCTGAGGTTCCTCAGTCTGTACCCTGCTCCCATGTTTCTGGATCCCAAATGACTTTTGATTTATGGATCCTCTCCTAGAAGACTTCTATTCCTAAATTAATTAGGTAGGACCCAGTCCCCACAATATCCAGTGTACTTTATATAATTATCAAATCTTTTTTTAAAGTATGTTTTTATTATTTTTTTAGAGGGAGAGGGAGAGAGAGATAGAAACATCCATGTGCGAGAGAAACATCGATTGGCTGCCTCCTGCAGGCCCTGCACTGGGGATCAAGCCTGCAACCTGGGCATGTGCCCTGACTGGAATTGAACCAGTGACCTCTTGGTGCATGGGACAATGTTCACTCCACTGGATGGGCTAATTATCAAATCTTAAATATGTTCTGTTCTACTTTCATTAATTCTAGTTTTTCCATTAAAAAACCAACAAACAGCCCTGGACGGTTTTTCTCAGCAGTTAGAGTGTCGGCCTGCGGTCCAGAGAGCCCCGGGTTTGGTTCCTGCTAAGGGCACGTACCTTGGTTGCAGTTTGTCCCCGGCCCTGGTTGGGTCGTGTGGATGGCAACCACTCGATGTGTCCCTTTCACGTCGATGTTTCTCTCTCTCTCTCCCTCCCACTCTATCTGAACAAAATATCGAAAAATGTCCTCAGGTGAGGATAAAAAATAAATAAATAAATAAATAAATAAATAAATAAATAAATAAATAGATAACCAACAAACAGCAAATCCACAATAACTTTCCTGGGCTCTTCTGATATCTATGGCACAGCATGAAGAATTTTCAAGTAGAATAAGTTTTTGGAAAATTAAGAGTTTAACAAAATTTACCATGGTTACTCAATACCTTTTTGTAGGGAAAGGCCAGCAGCAATCCCTATAGAAATCAAAAGCATTGATGATACTTCAAATTTTGATGACTTTCCTGAATCTGATATTTTACAACCAGGTAAGACAATTGACAACACAATTAAAAATCTATGAAATGATGACATTTTCACTAAAGAAATTCCTATGCTCTTGGTTAATCTTTCTGTCTTTCTAGTGCCAAACACCACAGAACAGGACTACAAATCCAAAGACTGGGTTTTCCTCAACTATACATATAAAAGGTTTGAAGGGTTGACTCAGCGAGGCTCTATCCCCACCTACATGAAAGCTGGGAAATTATGAAAGAAGATCACATTCGCCCACAACCAAGAGCACTCAGGTAGCTGCATCACCAGGCTTGCTCGGCGTAGGTAATAATACATTGAAATACTCCTGAAGATGGTGGTGCTTAGGACTACAAGAGGAAATTCTACAGGATTAGGATTTCTAAGACTACTATAGGAATTGGTTGGCAGTGCCAGCTGGCGTTTTTGTTTGTTTATTTGTTTTTTAATATTATTTTTGTTAACTTTATTATACGAAGGTACTGGAATAAAAGAAATGTACATCCCTTTCTAACTGCACTGCCTACATGCGTATTAAGGTCCATTCTGCCTGTTGTGCTGTGGCTTTGTACTGTAACACCTTTAATCAATTCAGGAGAAACACATATCATTTAAAGCAACATAGGCTAACCTGTAGGTAACACTGCAGTATTGCTGTTTTACTGCAAATCTTATGGGTCTAGATAATCAATAAAAGCCATCTTGCATAGTCGGTGTTAGAACACTTGCCCTATTGGTTTGGACATCTATAGAATACATATGAAGACAATTTCTATAATGCTTTTAAGAAATTTTAAAAAGGAAATACACTGGTTATTTAAAAAAGTAGAATTTATCATCCTGTTATGACAAACTCCAAAGTAGGGAGTGACAAGTTTATAGCAAGGAGGACATTTAACACCTTCACTCAAATGCTCCACTAATATATTTACTTTACATTCAGAAGTACTGATGACCTTTATATATGTAGTCTGTGTACTCACAGGGGAGATGTATTATATTATATAAAATGTAATTGCTTTTTTTTGTGACAAGAGGACTTCTTTTTTAACAAGAGGACATGGCATTATTTTAATTTGATTATGATGAGTTGAATATAAGAAATGACCAAGAAGGCTGCTTGTAGAACTAGTGTATTTTTATTAAACTATTTTTTTAAATGTCAAACTTCTGATCATGTAAATGGACTTGTAGAGTACAAAGAGTTATTTACTTTGGTTTTCTAGAAAGTTGTTACATATCATGGCTGGTTAACTTTTATTTTTTTTAATGAAAATTTTTTCTTTGATAGTATTTGTATTAATTGTGCCATTATTTTCTTATACTCCAAATGTACCAAAGATCCTGATCAGAGTGGATGTTCACAACTAAGTAGAATTATACTTTTCTGTGTGAATGCTGTATTCAGACATGACAGATCTTTGATAGAAATCAGCTCATTGAAGGGCAGTATTGTTCATGTTTAGCTACATCACTGTGGATACTGTAAATGGAATTAAGGAGGTAAATGCAGGCCAGAGGGGTTGTGATTAGAGGATAAGAGAGATGATGTCAGCATCAAATCCTTTGGGTATTTCTGTAATAATGAAGTCATCTTTCTAGCGCAACATTTTAATTCTAAAAAGACTCTCTGTGGTTTTGATTTCTTAAGTACTAGTTAAGGAATGATACTTTATCAAAGAATGGCCTAATGTTTGTCTTAACTGTTGATAAAAATTTTTTAAGATATAACAATTATAACCATTACAAATGATCTGTGATCAAAATCTAAAATGATAATTTATTTTTAGGGATTTTTTAATTGGGAAGAATTGCATAGGGTTATTATGCAAATCTACAAAAGTTTTTATAAATGTTGTTGCTAGGTAGTTCCACAATGTTCCAATAAGGCCATCCTGGGGAATCTCTCCCCATCCCCCGCAAATTCTCTCCCTTTTTCTCCTTCTTCCCTCCGTCCCTTTCATTCTACTTTTTGCTTAATACTTGTTATGGGTTCCTCTAATAGTTCATGTCTATTTTCTTGTTTGGATCACATGGCTGAGTAGGAGAGAGAACTTAAAATTCTGGGGTATCTTAGTTTTACTAACTTGGTTTTTCTTATATCCGCCTCTAATTTGGAAAAAAACCTTTAACTTATGATCAATTTTATTAGATTTTTCTCACCCCACCTCATTCCCCTTCCTTCTTAAAGGACTGTTTTGCTAGTGTAGTGAATGGTTTTGATATGAGGAAATTGCAACATGCTCTAGTTCTAATATGGTAACTATTCTAGTACAGAAAAATATCATTAATTAAAGTTGACACAGAGAGAAAGGTCTGAATTATCAAAGTTTACTTTTTAATTAAGTAAGTATAGAGCATTTTCTTTTCCTTCTCCCTCATTCTTGTTAACAGCAGAACTTGAAAACAGATATGATTTCCTGGCAGTGAAAAGGCAGTTCTGGAAGTTCACTTTGTTTAGAGTCTCATTTTTCCCTGGAGTCAACAGAGTGATTCACAATCTGGGGTTTTCTCCTCATCAGAAGCATTTCTTAAGTGCCTATCTAAAAGCAATTAAAGACTGTGTCTGCCCTTTGGAAGCTAAGAATTTGATTCATGATGCAAGTTAACTAGATAATTTGTGAAGTACTCTTGAGACTGAATTTTCTCTATTGTACATTTCCCATATTTCAGGTGAACCATTTAATTTAAATGACAAAACCCTATCTACTCGACTGGGTATAATGACATTTTCTTTAAATTAGACTCTATTTTGAATTAAAGAGTTTTATTATAAACTATGTGTTTTTGGTTTTTCTAAGTATATAGAAAGCTTGTATAATTCGGATTTATTGATTTCCTGATTTAATGTAGACTTTGGCTTTTTTTATTAAAAAAACCTTTGTATTAAAGCAAGTTATGTTAGTTTTCTTTTATGCTTTTATTATTAACTTAGCTTTAAATCTTTAAATTTATTGAAGCATAGTGCTATCTGAATGTAAGGAATTTCTTATAAATCACCCTTTTCTGAATTAAATATATAGCTGATTTAATAATCTGTTGAATGAAAAATAACAAATGTGGAATTTTCAAAACTTTGGTTGCTAAGGCTTAATATTGGGTTTTATTTTTATCTATAAAAGCATACTTTTTCTGTTTTTTTAAACACCTGTATATCTCTGTGTAAATCTGTAAATTTAAAAATATTTTTAAGGACATTTATTTTTGGTGTTTCATTGTAGAAAACCTTTAGACAACCAATCAATCAGTATCTACTGGTAGGAGAAACAGCTGTCCATCTTTTGATGATCACAGATGAATGAACTGAAATTATAATCAGTAGAGGGGTCCCTCGCTACTAAACACATTCTCTCTGAATTGCTAAGATTCAGAACATTCAAAATAACTTTGCTACAACCGTGATTACTTCCTCTTGTCTTTACATTTTATTTTCTCTTTAGAAGTGCACTTATTTCTGAGAAATTTTAATGAAAAAAACACTTAGAATAAATGTAAATATAAGACACTTGGGACTAATAGAGATATTTTAGATTTTTATGAAAAAATGTGAGGGGATATTGCTACTTTAAAAAATGAAGTAATAAAAATAGATCTTAGTTATTTTTTAAAAAGCAATATAAATTATTCAGCCGTTGTCTAGAAAAATAATCATCAGGCTTTTGCGTTCTGTGTTCAGATACTGAATTTCAAAAAATGTTTTGGTGGCATGAGGCCTTTTTCATTGAAGGTAAGAAAAGAATAAAAACTATGTTTATAATATTTCTGTTGGTGAGCTTTATTGTTTGTTTCATTTTTAGTTTTGATATAGGTGTTACTCAAAACTCAAGAAAGACTATTTTGTAAATGTATTGAGCTTTTACATTTAAAGATCACATCAAGAACAAAATAAATATGTGAAGTTTCAATTGTGTTATGTATAAACAATCAAGATAGTTGTATAGGTTTATATACAACTACCTCACTAGGCCAAAACTAATTAGCAAGCAGAATTGAAATAGAAATGTCTAAAAATTAACTTCAAAATGCCTCAAAATAGCATGGAAACCAATAATATAAGCGGCCCAAGTACCCAGGTATCACTACATTCTGTCCCATGAAAGATACTGGTGATCATGATTTTTTTCTGCCTAGCTCAGAAGGAGCCAGTCAGAAAACCTACTTGTGCTCCCAACTGTTCCCTGACTTACCATCTCAGTAATGCCATGGTGAAGACAAAACTGAAGCACTGGTTGTCAAAATTTGGACATTTGAGCAAACTTGGAGACTCTAAATTCCTCTTCTTCCTTTCTTTCTACTGATTTTTTAGAGAAAGAGAAAGGGAGAGAGAGACACACACACAGATGTGAGAGAGAAACATCCATCAACAGCCTCCTGCATGCCCCCTACTGGGGATAGAGCCTGCAACCCGCCCGGCATGTGCCCTGACCAGGAATTGAACCAGGTCCTCTCGGTTCGTGGGATAATGCTCAATCCACTGAGCCACACTGGCTGGGCATGCACCCCTTTTAAAAAGAGCAAAGTAACTCTTCCAGAAGCATTCTAAGCCCCAGATTTTATTGGCCATGATAATGTCATCCGTCCATTCCTACAACAGTACCTAGCCTGAATATTGACTTAAAACTAATCAGGATTCACATCCCTGGTACTTGAGTGAGGCTGACCCAAAGCATATGGCCACCAGAATAAAATCAGTTCTTTTAATAACCTTCAAGATAATCAACACCAGGTTTATAGCAATTGCTCTTGCCTGGAGCCCCACCGCACCTGGGTTTTGTTGCTGGTTCTGCCATTGCTTGTGTATGAACTAAAGGGCTGGTTCACTAAGGTCTTTCCTGACTCATCTACAACAGGAATATTGTGTGCCATTCTGCTAGACCATGGCTCAGCTATAGGGATCCTGAGTTTCTAGTCCTTCGGAGAACCAGGAAGGGGAGTGGGTCTGTGGACATCATACAGGATGGAAATTGGTCTTTTGCCATCTCTCCTACCTCCCATTCATCTCTTCATTGTTCTGTCTTTCCCCAAAGCTGTTATATCACTAAAAGGGACCCTCATCAACTTACTTGGCCCCCAAGACCCAAACAGGGGTGAAGTGGCCTAATTTCTACTGTCTTACCTGCTTTGTCTATCTGCACAAGATGGGCTCTAACTATAGAAATCAAAAGATTTCTCAGGTGAGTTTGTGCTAACTACCACAAAGTTCTCTCTCAATTCCTTTACCGTTCATATTAAAGCATTCCTTATCAAACTCTAAGCAAGATGACTTATCTCTTCCAAAGGGAGAAACCCATAAAAAGAAAGGGAAACTGTCTTTTGACTTTCTTGTCTCTTGGGTAAGAGGATCATGAACAAAACTTGAAGAACTCTCCGGTACAACTCTCTACAGTTCATGGAGGACTGAGGAGGACCTGAACACCACACTTGCTTTAAGTGTCCAAAACCTGTAAAAGTAAAAATTAGTTCAGTGTTTGACACTAACACACACAAACACATAATCTCTAAGGGAAAAAGAACTTTAAGCACTTACTCCATATATAAAGAGATGTCAGCACAACCATCCCCTTATTCTTGTTTTACGTTTTGTTCCTCCCTGTAATTTTCCTCAGAATTATAGTTGATTGCTACTCCTGTCCTCTGGCTAGTAAAAAGTACACACACACACACACACACACACACACACGACTAACCCACTCCAACAACCTAGGCTTAAGAAAATTTATTTTGACAAAAGTCAGTATTTCCTAAAGTAGAATACTCAGAGCAGTTGTTTCAAAAATGACCTGAGGAGTTTATTTGAAATAAGGATTCCATGTGTCTTTCCCCAGACCTACTAAATCCGAATCTCCGGGGCTGGGGCTGAAATTCTGCACATCCTAATGCACATGCAACTCCAGGAACCACTGAGCTAAGGGGAAAAAGGGACTGGTTGGACTTTTCCAAAACAAAATAATACAGCCTCAGTGGTTGTTGTGAGCACATCTATAGGAAGTAAGGGATGCACAGTGGGTGAAGTATGAAAGTCGGTGCTTACAGCAATGTCTGGCACATTGTAAGTGTGCTATAAATATTTGAACAAATTAAAATCATGGCATTTTGTGGGTGGCCCTACTTTCCATCTAAGGCCAATTTCAAAATGTTTTCCCTTTTAATAAAAATTAAATAAATTCTAAAGGCATTGAAAAAGAATGTAGCTTTTGCTAAAGTTATTTTCCAGAAAAATAATGTAAGAGGATTTGCATTACACGATGAAGCTCCCTAAATTTAAAATTTCCACTCCCTATGGCAGCCATCACAACCTTTCCTCTTGTGAGTATACCCTCCTGCAATTGCCTTCTCTGCTTCTCCCCTTCATAGGCCAAATTCAAGTGATCCCTTAAACACATTTGGCTTCCCTATTTCTCCCAATCGCATGCCCACTCATCAACCTGCTCAGCAAATCCAAGAGTCCTCAGTATTCACCCTTCACAGAATGCTGGGGGTGAGTTGGGGGAGTGGGAAAGAAAGGGTAGTTTAACTATTAATAATCATTCTGAAGCAGGTGGATTTATTTGTCCTGGACCAACTAAAATATCTAAGAGGCCTTAAAGGAACCCCCAAACTAAATCACAATTCCAGCACGAGTTTGATGAGTGTAGAAATTTATAGTTCCCAAGGCAGTGGTTTCTAATTCCAGTACTGCTCTTGCCTGAGTACTTACTTGGCAGTAAAGCAAAATCAATGAACAAAGTTCACTCTAGGATTGGCCATGATTCCTGAAGAGCAAAGCTGTTCTTGGGCTTTTGATGAGGAAACCACATTGACCAGAAGAAATATATATGTATGCATTCTACTTATGTTTCAAATCACTTCTGTTACATTTTGCCCAAGGACAAAATATAAGAAAAACACTGGTTGGAAAATGAGAGATCATCTGTAAAGATATTGTATGGCTCTGTCTTATCCTATGTGGTATACTACAACTACTGTTAAAAAAAAAAAAATCATGTGAGAAAGTAAAGCTCCAGAGCATAAAGGAAAAGTAGCAAGTAGGACTTAGACTTGAACAATAAGGGTAACCCTATGAGAGAGATTTGCCCTGCTGAAACCCCGTTGGTCTCTTCTTGTGTCCACTTCCTATTATATTTAAGTTCTGGATTCCTTCTCTCTGGCTTTCAGGCTTTTTGGAGGAAGTAAATCATCGTTTCTTAGAAATAAAGGCCACAGTGATTCAGGGGCAAGCTTATTGGACACCATGGTATGAACTCCTAAGAAGATTTGACTTTTACCACCTGGCTTCTACTAGCTACTGAGTGACGTTTGCCTACTAATAAGACAAGAAATACAGGTGTTAAAACACCTCATAACAGTGATTCGTAAGCAAACAATGTATACATAGTCCATACTGTATACTTTAACCAGGGTTCCAGCAATTCTGCTTCACTGTTATGGTACCACTTAACGCATGCCCAGGTCTAAAAGTACCCTCCCTCCCCCCTCTTGGAAAATATATCTCAAAACAGTGTCCAGGTGTCTGGAGAGCTAAGGTTTGAATATGTATAAGGGAACCCTAGACCAGATTTTAAGACTACCTGCCAGGATCTCTGTGGAATTTTTCTTTCTGAGCTGCCAGCAGAAGTCGGTATTGGTGGATTTCAGGTGGAGTTCCAAGTCACAGCGAGGATGGAGAAGTTTCAAGAACGGTTTTGATTAGGAGACGCCAGTGTGTTTTATGAAAGGCAGCTCCGTTTTCCGCACGGCCACCTCCAGGAGCACATCCTCCCAGTCCCCATCAGACTGCAACAGTTTTCTCCCCGGGAACTAGTTCAGCTACTAACTAGCCCTCCGGACACACAGGCAGCTAGTTAAGACGCTGTAATGAAGCGTTCTGGTAAGATGGTTAATAGATCCGGGCTGGCTGAAGCAGCGCTGTAGTGTGTCCTCGGGTGTCCCTTTCCTCCGCTACCTCGACTAGACCATCTGTAGCCCAGGAGCAGGCTCAGGAACCAGGGGGCGGGGAGCCAACCAGCGTCTTCCCGGCACAGCAGGGAGGCGGCCAGAGGGATCCTCAAAGGATCTCGCTTCTGAATTTACCCACCGGGTTCAGGATCTCAAACGGCTTCCTCGGTCATTCCCCCTCGCCCTGCAGCGAACCCTCCTTCCCCAGGCAGAAAAGCGCAGGGGCAGCCCGCGCCCCCAGACCCGCTGCGCACCCCCTCCTGCAGTGACCCCCATTCAGCCTTCGCCTTCCCCCGAGGGAAGCAACTCCACCCCTCGGAACACTCAGACCACGCGTCTTAAAGCGACCGCGGAAACCCGCTTTAAAGAGGCAGCTTTCCAGAAAGGCGCCAGGTGTTACCCCACCAGACCCGCCGCACTTGGCCGCCAGCCTCGGGGTCGCCGGGGCGGTGCCCTCGGCGACTCCGCCCCGCGCGGGTCTCCCGCTCCGGCCGAGCCCCGCGGCCCCCCGAGCGGCGGGCGCGCGAGCCGCAGTCCGCATGCTCCGTGGCCCGGCCGCGGGCGGGAGTCGGCGCTGGCTGCGCGCCCGGGGGCTGCAGTGGCGGCTGCCGCGGCACCTGGCAGAGCCCGGGGGAGCCCGAGCCCCCGCCCCGGGTCGCCACCTGGGCCGGTGCAGAGCGGGCCTCGGGCTCTCGATGCTGCCAGCCTCGGGGCTGCGGAGCCGGCCCCGCGGCTCCTGCGATGGCGGCGGAGGAGGCTGCGGCGAGAGGTGAGGCTGCGGGCCGGCTGCCCCAGGTGGGGGCGCGGCGCCGGACGTGCCGGGGGCGCCCCCAGTCGGGCTGGGGGCGAGCAGCCGGCGGGGCGCCCCCAGGTGGGCACACTTCGCTGGGAGCTCTCTTCCGGCCAGGTGTTGCCTCCTGTGGGCCCCGGAGCCAAGGTCGTCCCTTGGGCACAAGTGCGGAGCGGGAGGTGGGGAGCGACGCCCGCAGTCGTCGCCCCCTTTCGGTCGCCCCAGCCCGGCGTCTTGGCCCCGGGCGGGACGTTTTGGCGAAGGGGCGTTCGCGAGGGACCATCCCCCTTGTGATGGCGGAGCTGCACCCCGCCGACCACTGGGCGCCCACCTCGCCGCCTGCAGGGGCTGCTGCGTGGACTTCTCAGATCTCCTCTTTCTGTCGTATAAACCTCTTGTCGGTAGGCATTGAAGGAGCTCGGTTTCTGCGAGCCAGTCCTCTCGGAACGGGAAATACCTCCATTTCCCGCTTCAAAAACTGCTCCTCCTGGGGGCGGGCAGGCGGCCAGGCGGGCAGGCGGGCAGGTGGGCACCTGGAGGCAGGTTCACCACGTGTGCCACTCAGCCCTCCCCGAGCGCGGGCGGCCCTCGTCTTTTACCATCACAGCGGTGGGAAAGCGATCTGTGGGATTAGTTTGTTTTATACTTGTGTGGAGTTTTTGTGAACTGAACTGGAAGCGTTGCTGTGTCTTTTGCCTCTCTCTAGTATTCACTGGCAACATTGTCCAGCCTCTTCCGTGGGGTTAGTCAATTATGGGATTATTATAAAATATCTATTATTTAAGACAAATGGGAGGCGGGGAAGAAAAAAATAAACAGAAATAACTAAAGGAAGACTGGCAGAGAGAAAGAAGTTCAGGGAAGCGGCTGATTAAATCTTCACTTTCCTTTTGGAATATGGTGATGAGTTTAGATTCTCCTCTGAAATACAGCAGTGAGGTGTTTTTGTACATCTAAGTCAGTTGTGGGAATTTGGATCATGGGGAGATTGCCGAAATCCTTTCATTTGAGTATTTGAAGTCTTTCTGGATAATAAAACGACGCGAGTAAGCACTGTTTTGAAAAGAGAATGCAGTTTGTATAGTGTTAAGCTGGGGCACCGTCTGGGCTCTTGGCTGTGACTGAACTCTGGCCCTTTACTGTGTCACCCAGGTTATTTGCTCTTTGCCTTAGTTTCATTTTTAAAATGGGTATATAGTATCTGCCTTAGAGGGTTGTTGTTAGGTTTAAATGAGATATAAATGCATTTAAAGATATATAAAGTGCTTAGCCCAATATTTGGAAAATAATAAGTGCTCCATAAACGTTAGCTTAATATATATTTACAGCTCCGATTTGCTTTGTGAAATTAATGAATCTTATCTAATCCCTTAAGAAAGTGTTGTCCCACACAAGTTAAAATTAGCCAAATTGAAAGAATATTTGGGCTTTAGTGAAAAAAAAAGAAAGAAAAAAGAAACGTCAAAATGCACCTGCTAATTCAAAAAGCAGTTTTCACCAGATAAGTTTTATGGCCTTAGACAAGTTTTTGGACAAGTAGTTGGTTGCTATTTATCTGAATACCAAATATGAACTTGGGAATGATCAAAATTAACCCTTCTGAGGTAAAAGTAGCAAAGTTTCAGTGGGAGGGCCAGCATTGATTGGGGTCCTGTTGTGTGCCAGGCATTTCCTAAGGAATGCCTTCCTTAGTCTCATAGCAGCTCTGCCACGTGGGTGGCGTTATCTCCATTTCACAGATGAGATGAGACAGCTGAGACTGGCCCACAGTTACACAGCCAAAAAGTGTCAAAACTGGAGTTCAAGTGTGTGGCACTGCCCATGCTGGTTTCCATTCTTTCCTGTCTCACTGGGTGGTGCTAATGAGCCATGTGCCTCTTTATCTAAAGAGGATGAAAAAAGTGTTGCAAGTTCCCCTATCCCTGTAGGGAAAAACAAAACAAAACAGGTCTCGGGTTCAGAATCCAGGGCCATGTTTTCCTTATACAAAATCCCTGAAGATTCCTTTTTCCTAAGCAGTTTGACATTAGGGCCCTCGTTAAAATAAAAATCCAAAACTGGCATTGGGGAGGAAACCGTTTTAAGATTGGCCACCAAAAATTTTGCTGGTGCCTAACATAATTCCCTGCTCACTTTTTCTGACAGGCTTATGGTAAACACCAAGATTAAGCAAGCTGCCAAGTGGTGAATGATTCCAGAATCCTTGGAGTTCTGGAGAAGGGGTTCTTCGGGGCGCAGAATGTTTTCCAGACTGAGACGGTCTTGAGTCCAGGCATCTGTGAGGCAGTTTTCTCTCCTTCCCATCCCATGTTCTCACCTGCGATGTTATTGGACACCTCTTTTGAGGTGTCATTCTGCCATTGTATGGCTTACATTAATTTATATGACTCAGAAATTAAAGTCATGTTCCAGTCAGCTTTGCATAAGCCACTGTTCCTGGGCTGGATCTTTAGGCAAACTTTCAGCCCGGATTGCATTTCTTAAGACAAACCAGGGTGGACTAAAATGGCTTTTCGCATGTTTCAGGGGGACGAAAGAGAGAGGAAAAGGGAGAAAGGGGAGGACAGGAGGGGTGAAGTAAAGAGAGAGGAAGAGAAGGCCAGGGTAGGAGATGGGGAGAAAAGAGTGAAGAACCAGAGGAGAATGGCGGGGGGAGATGAGAGAGGAGGGCAGGCCGAGGAAAGTGAGTGTAATGAAAGGAGCACTGGGGAAAAGCGGGGTGAGGGAAGAAGGATGAGAAGGGAGGGACTGCCGCCCCATCAAAGTTTGACTCCAGGGAAAAAAAACAAATTGAATGTTTAAAATATATAGGGAGAGCTGAAATAGTAGTATAGCAAGGACAGTGATTTCACTTTACTGTTTTCCTGGTGGAAAGGCTCCCTGGTTCCAAAAAGCAAGGTCTCTTTCTGTGCCGTGAACAGGGATTATAATATCCTTTCAAAATATCTCCCTTTATGTAATGTTCAGGAAATAATAAATCAGGAAATAACATTTCATCTGGTAGCCCTCATTTCAGCTGTTCCATTTAGTGGAAGACCCAGTTTTCCACTATGAGAACTGACTTACTCTGGTGCCTGGGATCTGGGTCATTAGTCAACGTTGTACTTTCATCGACATTATTAGGGACTCAGTGAGCCAGGTGCCCTACAAGAGACAAGTGTACCTGAGACATCTGGGAGGCAGTGCTTTCCTGCCCTGGATTTGGCGAGCCTGCTAACTGGCACGGCTCCCCTAAAAGTCCAAGCCTTCTGTACTCCTCACCTTGCCCAGAGCCTCCCTCCTTCCCAGTGGCTGGAGGCTGTGAGAACTTTGAAGAAACTACAATTTAAGCTCTTAGTGCAGCTGGGACCACAGGTGAAAGATGTTTTCTGTAGTAGCAACTAGTATTTGTGGATAATTACTGATAATTGACAAAACACTTAGCTATGCACCACCACCCCGCCCTGTTTTCTTCTCTTATTTGGGTGAAGGCACATTTATGGGTCCCTAACACATTGCCATTTATATTATATCACTTTAGGCTGTAATATTTTAGTTATCTTACCCCAGTGTTTTTTTCAATTACAGTTTACATTCAATATTATTATGTGCCCTGGCTGGTTTGGCTCAGCAGTAGAGTGTCAGCCTGCGAACCACTGAGTCTCGGGTTCTGTTCCGGTCAAGGGCAGGTACTTCGGTTGCGGTTAGTCCCCGGCCCAGGTTGGGGTCATGTGGGTGGCAGCCACTCGATGTGTCCCTCTCATGTCAATGTTTCTCTCTCTCTTCCTCCCACTCTATCTGAATATAAATAGAAAAATATCCTCGGGTGAGGATTAAAATATATATATATAAAATATATATATAATATATAAAAATATATATAAATATAAATAAAAAAATAAAATATATATATAGTATTTTGTATTATTTTCAGGTGTACAGCATAGTGGTTAGATAATTATATACTTTACGAAGTGTTCCTCTGATATTTCCAGTACCCACCTGGCATCATACTGCATCCCCAGTTTTTAAACTTTAAATATTTTAAACTTCTTAAAATATTTAAATCAGTCCAATAATATAATGTAAAATTCTCACTTGACAATACTTCAGTGTCAGTTGGCATGATAGGACATTTGTCATTTAAGAAAATTAATTGGTATTTAGTTTCTCTAATCTTTAATCTTATGGTGTAAATATCCAGATAACATCTTCAGAGAGAGAGAGAGAGAAACAGAGAAGGCTGGAGTAATGGGAAATGCAGAGAGAGTCAGTCTTCCACTCAACATGGTTTGCATTATTGGATGTTTGTAATTGAGGGTCAAGATTATTGTCATAAAACAGTAATTTCAAATATATTCAAAATGTTTTACTTATAAGATTTATTTTCTTAAGTAGGTAAGAGATGCCCTTTACCATACGTTCCAAGCATGTCACAGGGAAAGTGGAGAATTACCCACTGGCTTTCTCCCAAAACCTCTCCACTTTATATGGCCTATACTCAGTTATGTAAGCGAATCTGCCTTTCCCTGTATGGTTCTTACTCATCTTTACAGTCTCCAACTCCTTGCACCTATTAAGTGCCAAATAAAGGTTTGTTGATTTAAAATGAATAATGGCTGGTTTGAGGTATGGGCAGGGCTGGTTCATTCATAAAGTATCCATTAAATGCAGACTTACTACTGTACTAGGAGAGCAGAGATGGAGAAATAGATTAAGCAAGAAAAGGGTTAAAGAGCTTATAAAATGTATTGGGCTGTGTAAAAAGCAGCCAAAATAGTTGTATTAGAAGATTTAACCCAGTAAGATCTATAGTTTAACTTCTGGGAGTTAACTGCTAGGAGCCTCCAGCCAGAGTTGGGAGAAATTATATCTAGTTCTTGGGGGAGGGACTCACAGAAAGCTTTCAAAGAAGGTGCCAACTTGAGCATTAATGGATAGATAACTCTTGGGGAGGCAGCGAAGAAGGGGTCTCTCAGGGCAGAGATTGGGCATGGAAA